AAACAACTCTCTGAATTATCATATTTTGTATTCTTTGTATCTGAAACAGCAGTTTCTACTTTATGTACTCATTATTTTGTCTTTGTCTACTTTTGCAAAGTTTTCACGACTAAAATTAAATATGTTTTCTTTTATTCAATCGTCAGTAAGGAAGTTCACAGATTCTCATTATTTGACTTTTAGCAAGATTTTCTTAAACACATTTTTATTGTTGTTGAGTCTCAAAGAATTGATGAAGTCAATGAAATTAAAAATTCATTATATCACTATTGAAAAACATACGTATTACTGAAAGATTATATTTTTATGGTTTATTAAATAAATTCAAATACTTTTCAAAGCAAACATTAGAGTATTGGTTTTATTATAAACTAATATTTTTATTATTTTATTTTGTAGCATGGATAGGGGCTCGTCATGTTGTGACGTTCATGTTATTCTTGGGAATGGCCAATGCCTATATAATGAGAACCAACATGTCTGTAGCTATTGTGGCTATGGTGAATCAAACGGCGCTGGAAAGGGATCCAACCATTCCAGATGACGAATGTGAAGGATATTATACTCCACCCGCTAACTCTACTATAAGTGTAAGTAAATTTAATTCCAACTCGTTTTTTGATAAAAACATACATTTTCAAATTTTTATGATAGTTTAGATTTATTTTTTACTAATGGATTATTTAAACCAAATTTCCATGTTCCATTTTTCTTTAGATATTGGGTTTCTTGCCACGACTGCACCTTATTATTGTAATTGATAAAATTTTGTATTTTTAAGACAAACTTTATAAATTATGTTAATTTTATTGTTAAATATACTATATATTAACACTGAAATAGTCATTTATTTTTCACAATTTCATAGATTAAATAAATTTATATATCGCAATATTAACTATATTTATGTAAAGTAAAATTAAATCACTCTCGCATATAATTCATTTAATTTTAATGAGGTCAAGGTAAAAGAATTTTTCTGACATAACTTATTAAAATAAAATTTTTATTTCCATAAAAGCGCTTGATAAATTTGTGTAAATTTAAAAACTTTTATTATTCTTTTCTTTTTCGAATTAATTATACTTTTCATAATTATTTTTCCTTAATTTAATTTCTTAGTTTTTCTTATTAAAATCACGGTTCTTTAATAAGCTTTTTTTTTTAATTTATAAAGCTATTTTAATTTATAATAGTTATTACCATAATTTCAAAATAAAATTTCTATAATTGTGACAAATTATTGACGCTTTGGTAATTAATCTTTTTTATTTTTAAGATTATATTTCGACTAATTATTTCCATTTTTTATATTTTTGAAACTTTCACAATTTCTTTTGTACTTAAATTCTTGAATATTTGTCATCTTTGTTAGGGTTAATCAATCATTTCTGATTAATAGTCATTAATTTCCAAAACATACATTTCTGTTCATTCCGTTATAATAATTATCAACCAATGAAGATAAAATAGACTGACGTCATCGGTAGAACGTCATTATAATATAATTTTGTTTTTAAATGTTTCGAGTATAAAAATTGTTGTATTATCGATGACCATAAAATATAATGTTTTTCATTCCTTACTTTTAAATTTGGAATTGAAAATATTGTTATTTTTTTGTTTCAGAATGTATCTAATGAAGGATCATTTGCATGGAGTACGTCCCAACAGGGTTACGTGCTCAGTTCCTTCTTTTATGGTTATGTCATAACGCAGATACCATTCGGTATATTGTCAAAGAAATATGGCGCCAAATATTTTCTGGGAATCGGTATGCTCATTAATTCAGTATTCGGATTTTTGGTTCCGTTGTCTGCCCACTTTGGCATTTTCTCGTTGATCACTATACGGTTCATTCAGGGACTAGGAGAAGTGAGTTACTCATACAATTATGGCATTTCAAATGAATTATAACTCAATAATATTTATGAATATTAATATAATCCCTTGTCATAAAATCCTATTGGATAATAAAATCATTTTTACTGTTACTATTTAAGTATGTTTAAAATATTAGCTAAAAATTTGTAATTTCTTTACATCGATGGAAAATATTTTAGACATCAAGTGGTTATTTTGACAATAAATAAATGCGCTAAATATATGATCTGACGAAATATTTAAGTTTAAGAAACAATTCAATTACCTTTTTTATTGTAGTTTATTTTACAAGCGTTATAATTTGCATTTGTCACGAAAAACGAATTTATTTTTCTGTTATTACCACCCGCTAGTTACAAGATCTAATTAGTTCAGTGGTAAAGAATGCGAAGGTCAATTTCTAATAGCTTATGACTGTAATAAAGATAAAATAAACAATATCCAAAATAATGTTATTTAATTATATCTTTAAGTAGAACGACAGTTGAAATTTTTTAATTATTCGATAAATGTATTTAGTGACTTTTATAAATTTTTACATCAAATAGTAAAAGTCCTTTGAATCATTAATCGCGTTCTGGATAAGAGCGGGTTGATGTAGTTTAGCCCATTCTTATACACTGATCGTAAAAACGAAATAAATCGTTGATTCTAAGTGAAAATAATGGACCAAAAAACTTATAACACGTTCTTGAAAAACTTCTGTGTATAATTCGATCCGTTTTTGACGAACGGAATCCAGGGTAGGCGACGTTCCTTGAATTTCAATCTTTAACGTCCAATGTCCTATTGATTTCATTCTTCGAGGGATAGTTTTACTCGTAGTCATGTATGTGTTTGTCTATAAAGTCGCTCGGTTCATTGGATTAATTACAGTCACAATGTCACTTATCCACGAATTTAAGCCCCTAGCGTTTACCACCCCATTTCATCCAACAGTTTGATTTTTCAAAAAGATCAACATACGCTAATGGCTGCTTGCTGTGTTAATGTTTTTCAGGGTCCCATCGTTCCATGTACGCACGCTTTGCTCGCCAAATGGATCCCGCCGAACGAGAGGAGTAGAATGGGTGCATTTGTTTACGCAGGTTAGTAGTTTATGTAATATTAGTGTAAACATTATCTATTAAAGTGA